AAACGGACGGACAGACAGGCGAACGACAGTAGGTTGGCAAATTGGAGTCCAATATGCTTGTATATTATTTTTATACGTGTCAGATAAAATGGCGTATACCATACCTTTCAACTACTCTATACTAGTGTACAAATTGTCCATGTAAATAAATATATCAAATATATATATATATATGACTACCAAAAGTATTATTCTTCTGTAATAAAATATATGTTGAAATATCTGTAATGATTTACGAACAGAGTTTATGATTTACTGTTTATAGCAGCGGTTCTTAACCTTTTTTCCACTCGTATGTCATCTTTCGTTTGGATCCTTCTTGCGTACCCCCCAGTGGTACGTGTACCACTGGTCGAGAACTGCTGGTTTATAGTATTATCTGCAAATTACACTGTGATTTCACTAAATTATCCTCTTCTTGGGTCAATAAAAATTTTATTTTCTCAACTGAAGTATTAATAACTTCAAAGTTTCTTTTAGTGCATGCTACTACTAAAAATAAATAAAATACAACTTCATCATACTCAGAGAGGAAAAGCAAAACTATAAATAAATAAAAATCAAAGGAATTTCTTATTGAACCAATCAGAATATTAATAAATATATGACAAGCCCATAATGGATTCACTTTTGAGAATGTAATATGTATGCGGCTTTGTTTATCAAAGTTGGAGGCAAGTAAGAAAAGTCGATTGAGTTAAATAGATTTTTTGGTATGAGAAATAGAATTACAAAAACAGTTACATTCTTTTATTAATATTATTTTCACTTTGAGATGTGAAAATATTTTATAAACCGTTTAATTTCAATTCAGAGATGCATTACAATATTAATTAAAATTATAACATTAATTATTCTCTTTTATCATTAAAGAATATATATATTTTTTTAAATCTCGATTTTCATCTGTCTAACTTCGTTCTCGAGATTAACGAAGACAAACGGGCGTACAGTACAGTACAGACAGGCGAACAACAGTGGGAATCTATAGAACTTCAATTTGAAAATTGAAGCCTAATAATATACATATATTAAAACAGGTTAATATAATAATATAATATAATATAATAATAGTAACTTTCAAAATTGAAAATAAAGATTTAATAAAATGTAACTGGTTATATAACAAATATTTAAATAATTTGTATTTTTTAGTATTTGTTACATAATATTGTAAATACAGATTTATATAAACAAATAAAAATAAAACAAAAAATTATTTAATTTTAAATAAAAACAATTTGCAATAGATCAGATAATGCAGTTTCCTTTTATTCTCGTTCATTCAAATATACTATTGAATTTTCTTGTTACTTAAATGTTATTGAACCTTTCTGAGACAAACAAAACAGAGAAAAGATTTCATCAAGGAAAATATTTTGGTATTTTTTTAATTTATTTTTTATTTAATTATCCCTATATAGGGTGAGTCAAAAGTTCGTTTACCCTTTCTATTCCAAAAGTATTGAATATACCTTTAATTTTTTAATACAGTTACACAGGAAATCATGCTTTAAGAATCGGATGGGACCTTTTTTGACCTTGAAAATGTTTTTCAAGGTCTAATATACATAAATATAAATAAATAAAGAAATTATGTATATTATTTATTTTACGATCGTCACGTTAACTCGTAAACAAATTTTCAAATTGTTTCAAAATGCAAATTTAATTAAATAATTTAATATATCAACTTTTATTTCGTAAACTAATTCCGATTTGAATGTATAAATAAATAGTGTTTTACTACAAAGTCATGTTTTTTCTGGCTTGTATAATAAAATATTAAATCTTTCTTCATTTCTATAAACTTAAAAATTGAATTAAATGGAAAAATTGTTTACTTTTTACTATTATATTAAAGTTACCGGTGCATATGGTATTTATAATAGTTTCCCTTTATTCTATATAATTATTTTACTAGATTAAGAATTGGTTCTTGCCCTTATTTGTTATCCAAACAAATCTAAAAAAGATTGCTCGTAGCGTTAAGATCAATGTTATACTTCTACGTTCTGTATTATATAGGCTATATATATATATATAATTTCTACTCTATATATTTTGTACCTAAATAAAAAATGTGTGTTTAGTTATATTATTGTGTTACGAGTTCATATTGTATACGTTAAATCTCAGTGTAGTTTGTATTAAATCAAATAAATATAAAAGTAAAACTTCAATAATTATGTATGTATAATTAATTTTTAATAACGGATAGTATATATACACCACACACAGACACGCCTACACACAATGTACTGTACATACTTAATTCATAATAATTTATTTTATTCGGATATATTTAGAAATTTGGAACTCCAGGGAATTTCCCTTTTTGGCCATAGGGTAACACGCCATTGATTTTATTAAGAGACATCTTGTAGACACAACCGTTTAGGGATTGTATATCGGTTTACCGATTTACCGGTTAACAGATAAATTGACAAAAAAACATTTGGTAAACTTACCGGTAAATTTTTGAAATTTACTGGTAAATTTTTATTGTAGAAAATATTGTGTTTATAGATATTTAAAAGGGCTAAAGGGACATTGGAAAAAAACAAGTGTAAGCAACAATATACCTAATTATTAATTTTATGTGAGATATTTTTTGTTTAATTTTAATTTAAACTTTCTTGGGTTTGAGAGACACTGTAAATTGTACAGAAAGCTATAGTTAGAATATGTGATTTGTGCTCTGCAGTTTTTTGAGATTTTTAAAGGTTTGAAATCTTTACAATCAACGTTTTTCTTAAAGAGTAGGTAAATATCTCCTTTTTTAATATTTAAAAATAATAATACGTAAATATTTCACGTATTTTTTAAATTAATAGCAATTTTGAATACATCCTATTATGACAGGACATTAATGCAATATTATTGTAAAATAACATTAAAATTTTTACCTTAAATAAATTTTTTACTTCTAACAACTGTTTAAAATAATTAAATACAAATATTTATTACAAGATTCTAACATTATGCCTTAAGATTGTGCAAAATATGTATTATTCTAACCTTATTTTCGTGGGGAATCCCCATTACTCTCACGAAAAGAACTTTCTTTAATTTTAGATTTTAGAACCAGGTGGAATAGCTTACTAAACATGCTGGAAAGATTTTTATTACTTAAAGATGTTGTCCGAAAAAGTCTAGAAACCTAACCTAACCTAACCTAACCTAATCTGGATTATTTTGTACAAAAATTAGATCAAAATTAGGAGATAAAACTTTAAATAATTTAAGTTTCTTGAGAAGTTATTTTTTAAAAAAATGGTAATAAATAAAATGGTATTAGGTACTATATATTATTTCTGTATTATTTTTATTTTTCTGTATTATTTTATTTATGTTTCTAAAAGTTATTATTATAGTTTGTTTAGAATAACACTTTAATTTTTATATTTTTTATATTTTATATCTTTGAAATAAAAAAATGTGAAATGGAAATCAAAATTACTTATATTTTTTTATCACCTTAATTTTATTTTTCAGGAAAAGAATTTACCGGTAAACCGGTATTTTAATTTTCATTTACCGAATTACCGGTAAATAAAAAAAGTCGGTAAATTTACAATCCCTACAACAGTTGCTATACCGCATAACTTCTCGTGAAAATATTATCCTCGCCGAAATAGTAATAATGTATCAATTTTGTTTAAAGATTTAAAATTAATGTCAAGAAATCATAATAAAAGGTAATTTTTGTTTACGATTATTGGATTGCTTTTGTTTATCTTTGTGTAACTATTGGAAATTAAAAACTGCTTTATTGTTAGAATGACTTTCCTGCTTCTCAAATGTCGCTTATTTCAAAGGAAATAAGTATATAATATTATTTTCTCGTAATATTTTTATTGGATTCTGTTATTATTTTATAATAAAAACATATTTTAATATTACAATTAAAACATTAGAAACAACTTAGTAATAAGATACAAATTATGTGTTTGCTTTTTGTACTTAATTCTAATATTCTTACCATAACGCATGGTCCTGTATATTAATTATGATAAAGTGTTATTATATTTTAATAAGAATAATATTTAATTAACGTTATTTATATTATTATTATTTTCGACTATGACAACTTATTTGAATATATTCTCACCATCTGTCGAATGATTGAATACAGTAATAACAACGTGATAATAATAAATATTATGCTCTTCAAATAATAATGTAAATTTAAAAATTAGAGAGATTTATATTATAATTTTGTAAAATATTTTTACTCATAGTAGAGATGTACTGTACACGAGAATTGTGGATTTCTTTCATTTCCTGACACGTGTCTTCTCCTCCTTGATGTAGGAAGCATGACTCACAGCATAACAGTCTTATTAAACAAATGAATAGAATATACTATTTATATTTAAGGGTAAATAAATACGTTCAAATTGATTTTTTCCTTTTCTGTCAACATACTCAGAGATGGCCGAACACATTTATTTTTACAATTAAGTACTCATTTTTAAAGATGTGTAATACTATTACATGAACTACTTAATGAATGATATTTTAATTAAGTATATTTATCTTCGTTCTGAAATCTGCAACAGAATGAGTTTACACTAATAAAACATTAAATTATTTTATGAAATGATAAAATTAATAGCATCGACAGCGGCAATTATGGAATTAATGTGTATATTTGATTACATTACAGTCTTGATCTTGAACGTTGTCATGATAACTAACTTTATTTTCGATATATATCGATTTAGAATAAATAAATGTGCAGGGTATTTTCTTTGTTTCTAATTATCTTAACCTGATTACACTTTTTATGTCGAATTAACAGATTCTAGATTTTTAAAAAAAGATGTAAACTTAACAAAATCGTTATTAAAGCTAATAAAATAATTAGCAATCTATCTTTCAAATTTTAATTTAATTCTACATAACTAAATAAAATTTAATGTAATTTAGTTTTCATTTAATTTAATTTTTGCCTCGATACATGCCTCACATTAATAAAAATACTAATAAAATTTATTCTTAAGACAGATTCTTCAAAAATTGGATGAACGTCTTCAACAATTGGGGTAAATATAATTAAATTAAATTATCATATTAATTAAAGATAGATGATAAATTAATATTTGTAGAATATTTTACTATAATAAAAACTTTTGATTCGATTTTCAATTGTTGAAGTAATTAAATTACAATGTAGGAGTTTAAAGATTTGTATCAAGTTTAAATTAGCTTATCATATTTTCAGACAATGCACTAATTACTAATTCATCTACTAGTTTGGATATTAATAGTGAGATAATTGTGATCAATTCTGTGATTAATTTTAATAAATTTATATACTTTGAAATTATCCTTGAATCAACAATGCAAGGAAAATGATATCTAAATATTATTTATTACTTTAGAAATTTATCTTTGCTTTTATCTTTAATTAGAATTCCATTAACAGAGGAAATGTAGTTATTTTTAATGTTTTAAATCATCGATAAATATAACATTTGCATTTAAACTTATTTATTTTATATGTTAAAAATTACATTATTAAATAATCAAGAAATTAATGCTAAAGCAGAAGATACGCTAAAGCAGAAGATAGAAGATAAATTTAGTTACGCAAATTAAAAATTTAATCAAGTACACCCTTGTTTTACACAATAGTGTAAATATTTGTTATCAATTAATAGTTGCACGTGCTCAGCATTGAGGGGATGGTTGAACTCTGTACGGTATTTTTTAAATGAGTTGAATAGTTACGTGGCTTTAAGTTGGTGAGGGTGATAAAAACAATAGTCTTAGTAACTAAAATGTACATTTATTAATCTTCTTATTTACAATGCGAAACCATAATGTTGTGTTAACGCTTGCTCGGGCTTAAGAGGTGTGGGCGTTAAGGATGTTTCGGAGGTGGGGACCCAACAGTCTATTTTTTAGTGTTGAAGAATAGTCGTGCCAAATTTGATGCGGATACGTTGAACGGTATAGAACTGATTACCTAACAAACATACATACTGTGCATACATATTTTGACTTAATTAAATTAATTCGGAATTGCGTTGCTTAAAATAAAAATAAGAATTCAATTAAATATCAGGAATTCTCATTCTTCAATTTTCGCTATACAATCATCTTCATATACTTCAACCAATTTTCAACATCTATTAAAACTGATATTTTATCTTGTTATATCATTTTATAAAAGAAAATATAGAAAACTTTTAGGTAATTTTTCATCTGCAATAATGCTAGTAAGACTAAATGCTATTTAATAATACTAATCTTTGTTGCATCGATTTTCTTAATTATAATTAATATTACACTTTCAATTACACTTAAGTTTATTTAAGAAATTTTTCAACAAAGCGGGAATTTCCTATTTAAAAAACAAACAAGTTTTCTCAGTTAAAATTATTAATGTTTGAACACGGATTACATTGATAATTTTAACTGAGAAAACTTGTTTGGTTTTTAAATAGGAAATTTCCTCTTTGTTGAAAGATTTCTTAATAAATAAACTCAAGTATAATTAACTGTGTAATATTAGCTATTTGATATTAGCCTACTGTTTAAAGAGCACAAATTTAGATCGGAAATACATCAAACCTTTATAATCCGAAAATAGCTCATATATTATTTTGCCAAATTAAAATACACAGGCCTATATATAATAAAATAAATTTTCAATAAAAAATAGCAAAAATTAAATAATTCGAAACTAAACGGTATTAGAAGTATTTTTTTTCTATCTTTCTTCTAATGTCATAAGGAAATTTCACAGTTCTTTTACAGTCTGCTTTGAATAGTTTGTTTTAAACATATTTCCACTTCTTCATATAATTAATTAAATTACTAAACACGTTTGATAAATAACACAAAAATTTATATAATAACATTAATTTATATCACAATTTTACATTATAAGCTTAAGAACTTTATTACTATTTTAATTCCCCAATAAATTATAGTTTTAGATGAAAAATGGTAATATACATAAAGGCAAAATACATATTTTTATTTATATAAATTAGATAAATTCGTTTCAATTTAACAAATAAATTGGCCTTTTTTATATTTTCTTGAGTATTACTATTATGTTCTTTATATATAGGCCTATATATATTATTTATAGTACCATTCTCATAAACATGTAGGTACTTACTTGTTAGTGAAATTTCGAACTTAGTGGTTTACAAGTAGCCTATTTTGAAAATTTGAAAAATGGATATTTAATAAAGAGAAAATCATAAATAATTAAATCACTCTTTTTTTATTCATACTTTACTTCCTTTTAAAGTTGTGAATATGTAAGATATGGCTTAAAATAAGAAATGTATTTTAAAATTTGTTTTGATTTCAATACATTTTATTTTAACTGGTTTCAAGCTAGAAAAATCCTAACTTAAATTATTTAAAAATAACGGAAATTAAAACCATAGTAATGGCTATGAAGCAGAACATATTTAAAGAGAGATTACGTCCACTCTGAGGAAATGAATATTTAAAGATACATATACTTTTATTGAGAATTTTCTAAAATGTAAATAAATTATTCTAACTTAATTTTAATATATTTATTTGTTGTTTTAAGAGTGTATATTTTCTTTGTGTGTATTTTTGTAACCAGTAAAATAAATTTAAGTTTTATGGTTAATTAATTTCAATTTGTCTTTTGGTCGTCCCTTAGGAAATTTCCTACATCCACCCCCGCTTTCAATGCTAAATAGAATAGAATTTTTATGTATTCTATAAATGAGGCTCATTTAGACCAATAGAGCAAATTTTGAATAACATTTGAAGCACCTTTACTAGCATTTTGAATAGATGACTTTGATATTGTACAGTACTGTACATACTATAATTACTTTTTATATATAATAAATATATAATTTATATACATCTGCATTGAAATTTGAGTGGGGAACTAATGTGATTAATGTGTAAAATACACCCGAATAACTTTTAATTCTGTTAATTTCCTCGGAAGAAATAAGAGATTATGTATATATATTAAATATAACAATAAATTAAATAAATACATATAAAATTTTGTAATATCACAATTATTATGAGATACCACTAATTACAAAAGTAAACTCTAATTAAAACTATCTATTGTATTTTCTAGTTCACATTCTGTGATAATACCTTTTACTTTCCTGGCTGCTATGTATACATAACACGGAAAAATATTGGAATCGTGTCAAATTTGATCTCCGGAATTTTGCAAATATCGACGTTTTGAGACCCTCTAAACCCAAACATGACAAAAAACAGGAAAAAATTTTATGCACGTATGTAAGGGTGTTAATTCATATTTCGTTTAATATCTCAGGATGGTGTACAGATTAAATAACGAAATTTGCCATAGTAGTTTGTATATAAGGGATATTAATGCTATTAAATTTTTGTGGTTGAAGAATAAGGGAATGTGGAGATAGAAGAGGGTCGTTTGTCATATCTGCAGTAGAGTCGGACTTAATAAAGATTTTACTCGTTAGTAACATTTACAATATTTTTTTGTAAAACTCATCTCTACCCTAAAATTTTGCCTTTTAAAAATAATTAATAGTATAAAAGTTATTTTTAATAAAATGCTGATAAAAACAGGGAAAGTTAAGCAACTCGTTGCTGGATTTTTTCAATTATAAATACATAGCTTCAGGGAACTAATTTCATTCATTCATATATTTTTATAACTAGATTTATTTTAATTGTGAAAGTTTCTTTTCAAACATATGATTATAATATTGCTGTATCATATCTTTGATGCTTATTAAATACATATAAACAAGCCTCTTATTATTGCGTGTATACACCACTTAACAGATTTACGCTTTTAAGATAAGAATGTAGACTAAAATTAATTTATGTAACAGCATGGCAGCCCTTACATATTTCATTAAAATATCAGTAAATAAAGCTAAACGTGACATACGTAATAAATTTCTGTAATTATTCAAGTTTTGTAAGTGTCTGTCAAATAATTAAATGTCAGAAAAATGAGTTTCTCTATATTAAAACCTCTACTGTTAGAAATAAAATTTTCTTTTTCAAGATTAATATATATATATATATATATAATACTTGATATAAATTTAGTTATTGATTCTACAAATCATTTGTGAAAAAGTATAAATTGACAATTTATATGCTGTATACGAATATTTTATATGCATTGAAGCATGATGTAAAAACATGACTTGCATGGTTAAAAATAGATCAAAATTAATTTAGTTACAGTTAATAAGCAGTCATCTGTATCAGAATATTTTCACTGTTAATTAATTAATTAAAATTCAAAATCAAAGATTTTCATGCTTTAAAAATGCTAAAATATATATCATTTAACACAGATTATAATTGCTGTTTTATATAAATTTATTTTAAATTCTAATCTTCCAAAAATGAATTTTGATGTAAAAGAAATATTTTCTAAAATAAATAAAAATTAGACAATATTGTATCAAAATAATTTTAATGGAAACAAATATCAACAGCATTCAAGAGAATACTATTAAACAGGATTTCTTTTATCTATAAATCTTATAAACAGTCATCAGTTTATTGCATCATACATTACTTTTTAACATTTAAACATCATGCAACTTAATTCATAACATTGATGGTAACAATAAACTTGTAACAAATGACTACTTCTGTATGATCGCACAATTTGAAGTAAAACTGTGGAATGACTAATTAAAAGATATCTGTTGTATTTGGCACATTAATAAATAAAATAACAATCCTAAAAACAAAGATAAAATTTGTANAAATATAAATAAATAATTATTATAGAATTCTTTTTATTTTTATTAACTTAATTTTTATTGTTATTGTTGTTAAGTTATTTATATATATTTTATTGAGATAGCTCGTTCTACGATACGACTTGGTGGTAATTTCTTGTAATTAATTGGCTATCTACTTTGAGTTTTTTTAAATAAATAGTTTTGTTAATAGAATTAAATACTCTATTAAAAAATTAAGAAATGTATAAATAAAATTTATAAGACAAAACGAAAAAAAAATCATCAGAATCTGAAACATCAAAAATTCAAATTTGAAA